TCATAGCAATACAAAAAAAGGTCCGCAATAAGTGGTGCACAGTTAGTCCCCATTGGAATTCCGATAACAAACAATTTTTCGTAGTCTACTGACATACTATTAGTTACATAGTGTGTTAGTGACCTAATATGATATATACGGGGTCAGTAAATTCCATATGGGATGAGAGCGAAGTAAATTCCATATGGGGTTCGAGCGAATATACGGGGTCAGTACCCATATGGAATTTACTGACCCCGTATATATCATATTAGGTCACTAGCACACTATGTAACGAATTTATCTTACCGACTATCTTTATTTGTTGAATTTAGACTAGAGTTGTCTCATTTGCAATCATACCACATCTTCTTATTTTTATATAAAAGTGTTCAAGTGTTCAATTGTAAGAACCTACTTCCATTGGACTGCACAAAAAACTAATGTCAACAATAACAATTTAATATCAACAACCTTGATATAACAATATTAAACAGAACTTTCAATACATTTAGATAATAAAATAGTCCCAAAAATCGTAACTCCATTACTAACCGTGTATTGAAATAAGCCCCGCCTCCCTACTAACCTAATATGGAATATACACGGCCTCCACGCGGACGCTTTCAACCAATCATATTCCTAGAAATGTATAGGAGGTAAAATAAAAACTATTCTTGCCCATAGTCGTATCATGTTCAAAGGGTGTATAAGTTCTACTTCTATCCAGCTTGTTTCTTGTTGAATAAGGAATGTGTGTTCTTTTACCAACTCCAAGAAATGTCCTTGCAGCTCTAGATTGCAGTTTGTCCGCAAAATCATATTTCTTATATCCCCAGATTTCTTAAGCGTAATCTGCCACTGGAACAACTTTATTGTAATACAGCTTTTCATAAACTGAAAAACCTAATCCTTTTACACTGATCCCCAAGGGTGACTGGGGAATAGAAATATGGTCACCATTGGTCTTCCTCCGACCGGCAGTAAAACCCTCGCCAAAGTGGGGCGTCCGTTTGGCTGTGCGGGATGTACAAGCTACGTCCGTTCAGAATGGGGACGTTAAATCCGAAGCCTCGTGTCGAGAGAGTGCCACGCCCTTTACACGTTAAGAACCCTTACAACAACTCTTTGAGGGGTCCGTATCTGACCTGTTGCAAGGCTAAATTTCTGTCCCAATCCAATATACCCTCATTTCCCGTGACAGTCTAAATTTCTCCAACCTTAATCCTGGACGCCTCTATTACAGAACCAACCTATAGTATTTGTTGTTAATTTGTTCTTGTCCTGAATATGCATGAACTTTTTGCCACTGGACGTTAAGCAACCAACAATCAATCAACCAATCCTTTCACACTGTAATGCCTTGAAATCATTGCACCTAGGAATCTACTTCTAGCTGCATTTAGTAACTTAACTCCTTCCGTGAATTCTACTGTTTCACATACTTCAAATCCCAGGTATCTGTATGACTTACACCTATTAACTGTTTGTTGTCAAATATTGAATGTTTTGTCAGTTGGTTGCATGTTTGCCCTACGACAGTGAATTATTTTAGTCTTGTATTAGTCCTATAACATATGACCTCGGGGGCATTATTTACTATTTCTATTTACTTCCGTTTTTTTTACTATCAATGTGCTCGCATTAAAAAAAAAAAAAAAAATAAAAATATCAGTATAAAAACGTTAAAAATTGAATAAGAATGTGAAGTCATATGTTATAGGACTAAGTCTTGTCTATATTAATCCTCAACTGCCACTTTCCCAAGTTTAGATATTTTTATATATATTGATTGGTCATTGATATAGATAGCAAACAATATTGATGCTAGATTGTCCCCTTGCCTGAATCCTCTTTCTACGATAAACCAATCAGTGGCCATGTTTTCTATTTTTACACAGCTGTGTAGGGTTTTATACATTGTTTTTATCACTTTGTATATAATATACCAATACTTAAAATCTTTGCGAATAGTAACTCATGATTCACTGAATCTATGAAACACAAAAATGTAGGCATCTTTTTTGCTTTTCTTCTTCGTAACACTGAGTATAAAGTATATATGATCAATGCATGATCGTAACATTTCGGAAACCATTTTTTTCCTCGCAAAGTAAGTCATTTGAGTCTAAATACTCTGTGATCCTTTTACTTATGATAGATCAAACTTATTTACCGGTGGTTAATTTGCCCTCTCCCCCTTTCTTATATAAGTATAGGTTGGATAAGACTGTAGTTCCATTTAGTTGGCAAAATATTGTGATCAAAGCACAGCTGGAATAATTTCAATAAAATCTTGTTTATTTTTTCACATTTAAGTACTTCATTTAGTATGTTTTCTATACCAGTAGCTTTATTTGTCTTTATGGCTTTTAAGGCATCTCTAACTTCCTCAAGTTTTATATCAGAGTCTAGTTTAGTCCAGTCTCCTTTTGTTTGTGCTCGTTTGTTCTGTTATTCATATTGTTTGTTTTGATTTCTAAACTGTCCATTTGATCTTCCCATTCCAGTATCAGTTTACGTGTGTAGTCAAGGAATAAATCACTAACCTGATTTGATTCTGTATCTTTGAATAAACCTGAAAATCCTCTTTCCATTTCTTTACAATTTCATCTGAGTCGTGGGAGACCCTATCATTTTCTAGTGTTATACAGTCTATTTCACGTTTCTCAATAGTTGGTCCAAGTTTATTGATTTCATCGAAGAAGTTTTTTGTGTTGTTGGTTTTTAAACTTGTTATTTTGTCTTTTTGTCTTGCATTATATTGACGTTCTGCTTGGCGTGTTTTTTTTTTGTCTCGTGTAGGGAGTGACACGCTCTTTGCACGTTAAGAATCCTTGCAATAACTCTTTTAGGCGTCCTAAGGTGGCATGTTGGTGTCCCTATCCAATATACCCTCATATTTACCTGCCAGTCCAAATTTCCCCGACATTATCCCGGACTGTCTCTATTACAGGCGCTCCTTTAGAATTATTTTCAATTTCTTCTCGTCCTGAAGATTCTTGAAATGTTTGCCACTGGACGTAAAGGAATCAATAATTAATCAATCTTGTGACCAGTAATAAAACCCTGGTTGCTCTTTAACAGTTTTTTATTTGATAAAATTGAGAAAGGAAACGGGGAATGTGTCAATGAGACAACAACCCGACCAAAACACCGAAAACAGTCCAAGTACACCAATTAATCTTCATAACAGCGAGAAAATCCCGTACCCGGAGGATGTTTGTTTGTTGTCTTTGTTTTGAATTATGAGAACAAAAAAGTAACAGAATGGAAAAGAAAGGATATGGTTTATCATTCAATGAATTAAAATGGTTGTTAAAACGCACAGTACATAAGAGCCTAAATCGTTTACCTGCAACAAACAATAATATAAAAACTAAAAAATCAGTCAAAAATCGCATCCTTTGGTTTCGGTCATTCTTTCATTTTTTTAAGGTATTGTATTGCCCGATCATTGTAGCTGTTTACAAGTTCTAGCAATCATTGATAATGTTGTGGTTTTTTTTTAATATTATACGCGCCAATCGTCATTTAAGGGCATTAACTGAGTCATGTAATAGTTTCTCTCATTTTTTGGCATATTGAAGAACTTGTATTGACAATAATTTCTGATATTTAAAACATTCTACCTATCTATTATAGGTTTCAATATTTAGCCAAAAACTCGAAAGTTAGTCAGAAATCGTCATTTAAGGTCAATAACAGCTATCCAGTGCACGTGTCATTCAATGATTTCTGTCATGAAGCATCCGTGTAGATCTCTCACTTCTGGTTATTTTTACTATTTCCAGGTTCTACCTATTAATGATAGTTTTCAGTGTAATAGTAATGCACACGTATGTTAGATAAATATCTTCCTGTTAGGGCAATACCTCCTATATGTAGTCATCCGATGGTATCTGTCATGGTTCAATATTTATAGATCTTGTATTGCTGATCATTTTTGCTGTATGCAGTTTCTACCTGTCTAGTATATTTTTAGATAATTATAGACAAAAAACGTGAAAATTGAAATAAAATGACATGTAAGGCTAGTAACTCGTATAAGCAATCTGAAATTGTTTTAAGAAAGAGGTAGTAGGTATATTTTTATATTTTTACATTTTGCTCCTGTCAGATTTTCTCTATATGTTATGGTTTTCAAGATACATGTATTAGACAATAAATGCTTAGTACACTTATGTTCTTTTTTCTAGCCATGGCAGTCATGTCTGTTTATTTGCAGTAACAAAAACACAAACTTTATACATAATACGTATACCCTAAGGATCATTCAGTTAAATTTGGTTGGAATTGGCACAGTGGTTTCAGATGAGAAGATTGTTGCAAAAGTCGACGGACGCCAAGTGGTTGCATTTTTTTCAATTTTCACGTTTTTGTCTATTATCTAAAAATATACAAGACAGGTAGAAACTGTATACAGCAAACATGATCAGCAATACAAGATCTATAAATATTGCAGTATGACAGCTACCATCAGATGACTCCTTATTCACATGGCCAGTACTGTCAGGTGAGTCAAAAAAAAAAACTAAAGAACAACGTTTTATTCCCGTGTCTTATCTCATATATCATCCTCAGAACTATTAGAACCACTGAACTTCTATGAATGGAAAGAGCTTTTGATTCTTTGTGTATTCGAAGAATATTCTTATCAATAAGAATCAACAGTTTTACTTGCATTCATTTGGCCGTAGCCTATGCGTTTATCAACCGTCTAATGCGTGCATTTTGATAAATAATGAATGTAAGACAATCTATTTGGCACGTATATTTTCAGCAACATTATACAGATAATTCTAGAAAATTATATAATTGTGTTTAATTCTTTTTTCCAACCTCAATCACAAGAAGTGTTACTTTTCAAAAGTTGTTCTCGACACGCCAGTTGTCACACCGCAGAAGCTTTCCAAAATAAAAAGTAAAATAACAAAAAAACCGAACTCAAGGAAAATTCAAAACGGAAAGTCCCTTATATCCTCTGTGGTTTATTTATAATTCTTTTAAAAAAGAAATTCTTCGTGTCAGTGAAACAACCTATTTAAATAGACCACATTCAATAAACTTAATGGGTAAATTTCTAGTGTAGTAATTGTTCATACGTCTTATTGATTTGTAAGAAATTTAAATTTCGGATTTCAAAAGTAAACAATATTTTATACTTAAACAAGGTAGCACCATGGAGTCATAACAGGAAGTTATAACAGTGTGTGTAAGCATTTTACAAGTATGATCTATTACATAAAACCATGGATTTATCCAATAATATTGGCAATAGAAATGGTATTTGCTTGCATAATACCGTAAGTATAAATATTTTGTTTTATTTAACCTGTCTGTAAGAAGGTATGAAATCACGAAAAAAAAGGAAGGGGGCAATCGGGTATTATACTGTAGAAGGGAAAGTCTATTTACATTGTATTTAGGATCCACTGTAATCGTTGGAAGTTAACAAAACTTCGCATGTAAGTCACCCTCTTTTCTGTTAGATCAAAGTTTAAATATTAAAAAAATGGAAATTCAATAAATTTTCCTCAACATACAATACACAAACTACTCCATTAGAACTTCTATTCATTTGTTCAGCTACGACCTTGTCAACACAAGAAACAATAAGAAAAAGTATTAAAATACAGCGAGGAGAAAGGCACAAACATATAAAAATCAGAACTGATAAGACGCATAATATTCGATAAATTTTCTTGCCAAAACTTTAACTAATTTTCGATTTTTTATTGACAAAAAAAAAAAACTCCATAAAAACCGAACCAAAGGAGCTATATTGGAATTCAGAGCAAAAAAAAAAAAAAAAAAAATTGGCATTTTATGGCCGACTATACGGTATGTTTTTTTTCTCTTTGTTGAAGGCCCTACGGTTGCCTATAATTGCTTACACCCACTTTATTTGAACTTGGTGGATAGTTGTCTCATTGGCAATCATACCACATCTCCTTATTTTTATATAGCTTTATGGAAATGATAAACGAAGACCAATACTTTTTTTTCAGTTACCTGAAATCCACTCATGATGGAGATGTTGAAAAAGATTTTCCATACATAAGGTATGCGTAAAAATATAACCCCAAACCAGATATATTTACATTTTAATTTATTTTACAGCAACAAAACAAAAAGGAGTCCAAGCAGCATTTTTTGGCACAAGCAATGCAACTGACATTTTGATTTTGGGGAAACAACTCCTGTAAACAGTCTTAATGCTATATTTTAAAATGTATATTATAGTGCCTTTTAGTGTCCTTGTATAATTATGGCAGTCAAGGTATAATAGATTTAGTCCCAAACAATGTGCTTCTTTTATTCAGTCATATTTAGTAGTTTTGAAACTTTGATAACTTGCACAAAAATGTTTTAAATTACATTTTAACAAAATTACAACTTGTATACAACACATATTTATATATACAATACTGAACTAATTGCAACTTATACTGTATGTCCATTTTTTTGGGGGGGGGATTTTTTTTTGGGGGGGTGCTTTTTTCAGAGATTTTGCTGGTAAATATGAACCAACATTTAATCGATCAAATATAAATCAAAATTTGATGAAACCACGAAATCAATTATCCACTTAACTACAAATTCACCTCTACTCATTATAATATATAAATTCACAGTGATAGGATACGTTGACATACTGTTGCACAAGTATTTCAGCCTCAAACCTTACAGAGTATAATCTATTATACTATTTCAGGCTCAAACCTCACAGAGTATAATCTAGACTGTTTTGTTTATTCATTTGTATGTCCCAGTGATGTTTAACGCCACTTTCTTGGCTATACCATGCGGTTTTTTATCCTGAAAAATAAGTTTTTGTGTTAGGATTTTTGCAGGCTAAAAACAATGAAATAAAAATTTGAGCTCGCCACGAAACAAAGGAAAAGCTATAGGTAAGCCTTCTTTCGTCCTGTGTCTGAACATCGAAAATGTACAAATTAATTTTATATTTTTAGACAATATAAAAAAGATGTGGTGTGATTGCCAATGAGACAACGCTTCACAAGAGACCAAATGACACAGAAATTAACAACTATAGGTCACCGTACGGCCTTCAACAATGAGCAAAGCCCATACCGCATAGTCAGCTATAAAAGGCCCCGAAATGCACATATATTGGATATGTTAGTGTTGTATCGTTGTCATCTTTTAGAGACAGATGAATATTAACATGCTTTCGGGGAAGTTGATTGAAAGAGATAGGAAGAAATTCCTATGTACAAGTACTAAGTATTTGTTTCACTCGCAGGATCAGAATGGGAAAGTTTTTTTTTAAAGTGCTCCGTGTACAAATCTTGCAAAGAGTGATACATGGAGGTTTGAGGAATATGATCAAATTTTGTATTGAACATGTATTCAATTAACCTAGTATATTAAAAACATGTTCATTTCTTTTGTTTGATTTTGAAGGTGAAACTTTGTAAAAAATAGGAGTCATTATTTTTGTGGGTTATTAAGTTTTGATATATTTTCAAGCAAGGAGTGCATTATGTTCGAGAAACCCGAAATTCGAATTCAATTCAATTAGATTTGTCAGAAATCTTTTCTGTTGTTTTATCGTTACCATTAAAGATGTCTGGATAACTAGGGATCAAAACTAAGTTTAAGTTTGACAACAATAGTCATCAATTCATTTTAATTGTCAAGGTACAAATTGTATACAGAGTGAATAAAGTCAATTAACACGTCCTTATTTAATCGGCTTTCAATACTGAATTCTTTGTTTAAAAAAAACCTTGTTGATTTGTCCCATTTCCATTTTCGTTGGTCAAAATGTTTCCTGTTTCAAATGATTTTAAAACATTTTTTTTATTTGCAAGAAAAGGGGAAGTAAAACGAAAGACACGACAATTCAACGCACAGGTTCGCCCCGCACTCGGTCTACGACTAGCGGCGGGTAAACGTATTCTGCCATGAATGCTGTAGTTGTGTAAATAAGTGTTGTGAACTGATTGCATATATGTTTGATGGAAAAATAAAATATTTGCACGTTCATGTATTCAGTCTCCTGTATTGATATGCGACAACTTCCCCGGTATGACTTTCTTATAGTTTTCATATCGGTGCCAATGACGATTCTTGTGTAGACGAAACGCGTTTCTAGTGTAGCACAATCTGATTAAAATTCAGATCATATGTCCAAGATTTAATTACAAGTATCCAGCAACACTCTGTTTTACTTTCTGTTCGGGTAATTATTACATCCGCCAATAAAATTTCAGCCTTTAAATTACGGTGTGTATTAATCCGACAAAACAAAAGAATCCAGAAAGGTCTTTAAAAGGGAATTTTCAAAGTAGAATAGAGCGTTTCCAGATTGTTGTAAGCAAAACTTGGACAAAGGATATTTATCTTTATCAGATTTGGCATACCATATTATTTTAAGCCTGATACATGTATCTATGTTGAGTTTTTTCAATACAGAATTCATTACTTAAAAAACAAAAATATTTGTTTTCTCCTTTTCTTGTTACATTAAAACCCCCAAGGGTGACTAGGGAATTGAAATATGGTCACTCTTGGTCTTCTTCAGACCGGCAGTAAAACCCTTGCCAAAGCGGGTCGTCTGTTTGGTTGTGGGGGATGTACATGTACAAGTACAAAGTCACGTCCAGTCAAAATGGGGACGCTAAATCTGTTGCCTTGTGTACAGAGGTGTACGTGATCTGTATCAACATGGAACCAGGGTATAACACAGATTCTCATGATCAGGCAGACATGACCAAATTAAAAATCTGCAGGTAGATGCAACTGTAAAACTGTTATTTGTCTTGAGGACTTACATTTGCTAGGCTATAATGCAAAAAGTAAATGTTAACACAACCATAGACAAAAATGATATCCGACATATTCTTTTAGGGGTTAAATGATTTTAAGGCGGGTGATTTTTTTGTGTATTTCAATACTTTAAATAGGATTTGTATATGCATTTTGTTTATCAAAATTCATAACTTTTTGTCTCACCTGACCGAAAGCAGGTTACCATCACTTGACGTTTGTCGCCGCCTGTTAACTTTAACAATACATAGTCTTCTTTGAAACTACTGGCCAATTGGAACCAAACTTGCTCAAAATCAACTTATGGGAAGCTCGTTTAAAAAAAGTGTTCGATAACCCCACCTTTTAACCAACATGGCCGACATGGCTAAAACTAGAACATAGGGGTCAAATGCAAGAGTTGTCTATTAACTTGAAACCTGCTGTAGATAAAAAAAAATATGACAAGTCTGAAGCTATCACTTTCTTATAATATAACAGTTTTAATATTATGTTTTCAGTGACACAGGAAACAAAGGGATATCAGCGTCGGCGTTCAGCTTACTTTTCAATATTTATGGATTTTTAGGTGAGTGCAAAGTTTTTGACACGCTTTCATCCAACAAAAATGGCAGAATGACCAAAAACATAATATAAAATTTCAGAAACAGAAAATCTAACACAAAAATTTTGAGATAAAAAAAAAGGAACGCTAGCCATTTAATGGCAAAGTTCGGATCCATGTTCTATAGATATAAGAAGATGTGGTATGAGTGCCAATGAGACAACTCTCCATCCAAGTCAAAATTTATAAAAGTAAACCATTATAGGTCTGAATGTTTAAATTAAACCCATTGTCAGTTTAATTTTAAACCGAGGAACTTTTCCATTTCAATGAATGCACTTTAATGAATCAATAACCACATCTAACCAAACGCAACAAAGCCCAAAACAATGTAATACAAACAAACACATATACAAGTCAAATCAAAACAAAACAAAACACCCCATTAAAACAAAACAAAGAACAGCAATTCAATGTCCCCGCCTATGCACATATTATTTGTCAGGGGACAGTAACTCTAATATACATATTGTTCCTATCAATTTTTTACAAGAACTACAGGTGTGAGATTGCTTACAATGTAATTTTTAATAAAATTTCTATTTCCAAGGGACATGATTCCTGTCAAAATAGTTAATTGGCAATGATTTTTGACGGGGTATCAACAGCTCAGTAGTCAGTATTTCGGTACTGGTATACGTATGATTTATAGCAACCCTTTCTAAAATTGTTTGTTAATAAATTTTGAAAATATAAGAAACTAAGGAAAAAGAATTTTTTTTTTTATTTTTTTAGATACTTTTTGGTCATATAGCTCTTCAACTATTTAGGTTATTATACATGCTTGGCTCTCAAATACTCGGCTTAAAGGGATCCTAATGAAGGTAAATCTAGAAAAACGCTTCGGACGCATGAAATTTATGACGTGTTTTCATTTTTTAAACTCGTTCAAGACATTGCTGATATAAACTCTTTTTTTTTTAAACTTGCCAAAAAAGGTATAGACATCAGAGCGCTTACGTAGCAATTTTCATATAAATTTAGAATTTACATTTCAAATAAATATAATTACACACCTGTGCAAATAATTGTTCAACACATATTAAGTAAATTAGCACTACTTTTTAAAATCACCCGAGACATGGCTGATAAACCATTGATTTTTCATAAAGATCTCATAAGAATTGTTCGAGCGCTTCCAAGTTCCAAGTGGTGAAGTTGAATTAATCCCTTCGAAATTTTACGGACTTTATCACGAGTTGGTAGACCGCTATGGAATATATGTTTGAGTGATGACGACGGGTGTGTTTCAAAGGTCGTAACAACAATCCCGTCCTCCTTTTCCCCGAATGTGACCTACCGAATTATACTTATCACCGGGTCTGTACATGCATGAGCAACACGACCGGTGCCACATGTGGAGCAGGATCTGCTGACCCTTATGGAGCACATGATATTACTGCTAGTTGTTGGTGGGGTTCGTGTTACCCAGTCTTTAATTTCTATGTTATGTTTTGTATATTTTTATTTGTCTTTTGATCTTTTTCTCTTTTTTTCTGCCAAGGCGTTGTCAGTTTATTTTCGACTTTTGAGTTTGAATGTCCCCTTGGTATCTTTCGACTATCTCTTACAAGACCGGACATACGTACGATCTGGTGCCTGGTATGTTAATGTCCCCCTTACCGCATTGCAGCCGGGACAAAAACAATTGAGACAAATAAAAACGAGTATAATTAAAATTTGTAATTCTTTTTGACAATAACAATTTTATATAATGATAGTTCATTTTGTAGTTATCCATTTGCTTTTCAGCATTTGTCAATATAACTATTAGATTTGAACAGATTAAAGTCAACTACAGTTACCAGAAAAGTCGGCCTCGATACATTGTTAATATAATTGCTACAGTAGCTGGTCTTGTATCATTGTCTGGTATGGCTTTGGTTTCTACCTTCCAGGTAAGACATTAAGCAGTTGTTATCAGTATCTTATTTGTAAACATAATGTTTCTTAAACTTATAAATCATCCGAAAAAATATTCTAGAGAATTGCTTTGAAAATCAAAGCAATGAATCAAAATTTCTTTTGTTGTTAAGACCATTGTCCACAGCAGGTCAAGTAGTATACATCCGCTATAGATCTAGAACGGCGTATCTAAAGCAATGGAGGTGGAGGTAGTTAACAAAAAAGTCATCCTTTTCTGTGGAAAAAATAACACTTGTACGTGCACAATCTCAGAGATGTCTTTCAATTAAGAAAGCCATTTCATGATAAGAAAGCAGTAAAACACATATTCTTCGTTAATACCGATTAAATTATATGGCATGTTTAAAACTTCGTTAATACCGATTAAAAAAATTATATGGCATGTTTAATATTTGTTGTATGTTACTTTCTTCCATGAAGGATGATTGGTCTTAAAAATGTGATTTGACGCAAAACCAAATGAAAAAAGATGCCACCTAACTGTTATGTGGCAAAAATGTGTGTTTTTTCTTATTTTGTGTCAATAGATCTAGAACAATGACTGGTTTTCTTTTTTATAGGTTGGTACACATGACGGACTACACAACACTGGTGCTGCATTGGCCTTTGGTGTTGGAGTTTCATATTTAGCAATGCAGTCATTATTTTCATTCTTTTTAAAAGACATTCCTGGTAGCAATATTATAATAAATATTACAAGACTAGTTATGTCGATTCTGCAGTTTGCATTTTTACTTGGATGTATCCATTTTACACTATTAATATCAAAATGTAACGAAAATTAAAATATGTTGAAAAGTATAATATCAATGCGCATAACATATTAATCAACTTCCGGAGCTAGTCGTCTGCTCTCCGAACTTCTTAAAGCCTTCCGTTTAATTAACACGATGACAACAAGGATTGATTGCATACATGTATATGAAGTATCGAAACCAAACCTTTTGCATGGAAAAATATAGTTATTAGAGCATAAAAGAAAACTTGTCTAAGGAAAGAATCAAAAACCTGATACGGTCAACTTTGCGTTAGAAATTTAATACCTTTGGCTTATAAATTTACATAATCTTATGAACAGTAAATTTACAGACAAAATTTATCATTAAATCATGATACGGCTACTGGGCGGATGGTACCCCAGGGACCGTATTAAAGTCCATCTCCGACTAAGGGGTTAATGATGCTATAATACGTGTAACTTTAGTACCCTAGGGGACTAATAGTCCACCTGAAGAGGAATTGGCTCAGGGGTTAAAAATACTATGTCTAATGGGCGGATGGTACCCAAGAGGACCAATAGTCTACTTGAAAGGGTACCGACTCAGGGGTAAATTATGCTATAATAGCTACTGGTACCTTAGGAACTGATAGTTTATTTGAAGCGGTACTGACTCAGGGGTGAATCATGGTAAGGCAACTGGGCGGATGGTAACCTAGGGGACAGATAGTCCATCTGAAGAGGTACTGACCCAGGGGTAAATTATGGTTTAGGCAACTGCATGGGCGGGTGGTACCCTAGGGGCCGACTGATATTCTACCTGAAGAGGTACCGACTCAGGGGTAAAACATGGTAAGGCTATAAAGGTTGGGATGGTACACTAGGGACCGACTGGTATTCCACCTGAAGACTAAGGGTATTCAAAACAACATGCTACGTTTATCGTGTACACAATATGTTTTTTTTTCGGATAAAATTTCATCAGATACACGAGATGTACATTCAACAAGTTAATGACAAAATTTAATGTGGGTAGTATTTCCAGTTTCAATCGTTATGACAAATGCAGAATGTGATTCTTGCTTTTAACAAATCATACAATTACCATATAAAAATAATATTTTTTTTTTATCTCGCTTATAACCAACTTTGTTGAGTATATCTGAGAGACGTCGCCAGTATTGCAGAAACATTGTGACATTGTTATCCTTAACCAGACAAAGCATTCATTGTAACTTTACAGTACAAACAATCTAACAGCGTAAGTGTATTAATGGTAACAAATGTAGTTCTACAATACCACAAGCTGTATTTTAAAATAGAAAGATATTAATGCAAACTTTTATAGAGGATTTTGATTTTTTTAATGTGAATTCTTTTAAACGTACAGCCTATTTAATAGTTTTAATTTTATTCTTTCATTGGTTTTACAATAAGTATAAATTAATCAATTTATTATTTTGTAAAATCTGAACACAGATGTTTGTTTTAATATTTAATTTGGATTGATTCGTGTTTTGAAGTTATCTAAATGAATATCGAAACATTGGCATCGAGTGAGTTAAATTCATAAATTAAATAATAAAAATCGTTAAATAATTAAATTCCGTCTTATTATGTTATTACGTTTTTACTTGATAGTATCATTTTTGCGTGCAGTACGACTTTCTAGATTTATGGTTTGAATAGCCTAAAATATACATGTTAAACACAGTTTTCACTGACCTGTGAAAAAGCTCGTTGACAAATAACAAGGTAGTATGTAAGAGTATGTAGGTTCTTCCGCCATCCTGGATTGTACTATATTCAATGATGTTAGAAATAAATCGGTCTATATCGTTAAAGAAGTGTGCAGATTTTGAGATAAGAATTCCTTTGAATTGTAGTACTTTTCAACTGCCCTGGAGCAAATTCTGTTATTTATCTTATCATTAAGACTTGATATACAAATAAAGAATATGTTAAGCTTAGCTATATAAAGGGATCTAAATGAGATCATTCAATTTTATCAAGGAATTCACAGTATACGTTTACTATTTTTGTTTTCAGCAAACAAAAACCGAGTACTTTGACTACGTTTTAGCTTCTCAAAATACACTATAAAAGCTATCTTCTTATATTTTATATAAGTTCTATCGTTTAGTTTTTTAAGTGTTACAAAATCAAACAATTGTGCACACCCTGTAGCGTCAAAAAAAGCCCCGTGACCTTTACCTTTTATTATATTTTTGAAAATGCTTAATAAAGTACAGGTTGGCAAAGTTTAAAAAATATAAAGGTTATAATTTAGACACTCTCTCCGATTGTACCTTAAATCGACTATGCTGAGCAAAAATGGACTATACCATGGGAAAATAAGGGAAAAAACAACATAGTTGTCCTTTAAAATAATGAACGAATGTAATTACTTAACTTTTAAGTAAATATTTCGTAAACATTTCAATTTTTTGTAGTTTTATTCACATCCTTTTTGTTTATTTTTAGGATCTTTCAATCAAACGACAAGCAGCGATTCAAGAATGGATATTGGCTTTCCTAGTATCGTTTTACTTTTTGACTTTTATACCAGAATTTCGTCACTACGACTGGAGAATACAGCTGGATGAGACAAATATTAAATCTAACAAAGTAGATATAAATAGCGATTCGATTTATAATGTTGACTCGAAATGAAACTAACAATGACTCTTAGTGAACCAAATGTCTTTCGAAGTACATCTGCAGTTCGAAGAATACTCAGTGTTCGAATTAATTAAGACTGGTAATCTTCAGTATTTATATTTTTGAATTTTGTCTTACATATTTGCATAAGGGCTTCAAACTTCTTGAGTTTCCGGCAAAACTTTAAAAACTGCCGGAATAGTCTCACTTTGGGATCATGTAATTAGTATTAAGATATAAACCATTGATTTTCCCAATAAGATATTTTGTCACAAGATGTAAATTTTGACATGTTTATGACGTCTTCACAAATTACAATTAAGTGTCCAGTTTATATCAGCCTGTTCATTAATCAATTGAAAAAAATAATTTTGCAAGACTTGAATATTTTCCAATGTCATGGACCAAATAATGGCTTTTCGCATACATCTTCCTTATCATCAGTTTAACATTAAGTGTTGTTAATCTGTGTGTAAATTCTACTCATTCAATATATATTTGTAAAAGAGTATCCATGAAAAATCTAGTGAATAATTATCATGAACAGTACTGCATATCATATTTAATTAAAGTTATTGTTAATATTTTCAGAAAATATTCTTTTTTTTATATTTGAGAGTTTCCTTTCCATCGAAAAACTCGTGAGTCTGAGTTAATAATGAATATAATAAATTTAAAAATAATATGAAAAACAGTAATTGAAAGCGGAATATTTTTATTGGTACAAGGGATTCCTTCGCGGTTTTGGGTAGTTTCGTGTTGCTCCGTCTTACGCTGTCTTAAAAGAGAGGCGAAGGATACCAAAGGGACATTCAAACTCACAAGTCGATAATAAACTTGAAACGCTATGGCTTAAAAAGAAAAAGACAAACAGACAAACAATGGTACACAAAACACAACAAAGCAAACTAAAGACTGAACAACACGAACCCCACCAAAAACTGGGGGTGATCTCGGGTGCTCCGGAAGGGTAGGCATATCCTGCTCTATATGTGGAACCCGTCGTGTTGCTCTTGTAAGTACAAACCCGGTAATAAGTCTAATTCGGTAGGTCACATTCGAGAAAAAAGGTACGGGATTGTGGTTACGACATTTGGAACATATCCGCTATCATCTGTGAAACGGATATTCCGGCCATAACTAAACTGGACCCCTGTTGTGTTCCCTTATCGCTTCACTAACAACAGGTACGGCCTAAATCCCGTGGTCAACTTTCTGACTACTAGCCTGGGATCCTGGCTCACTGCTCGACAGAAGTATTAAATTGGGTAAGGATGCCAGGCTATCTGACTACGTGATTTAATAATTTAGACGAGACTAGTGCATCATGGGATCTGTTTATTGATCTTTATTATGTATTATATTGATAGGAACTCAAACGCGAAATTAACACATATATATCCCTACTGAGTTCTGAAGGAAATGAAAGATACCGGCTCAGTTTGTCAAGAATATGATAACACGCTCGTGGGGAATTTATCTGCGCTGCCACCATGGGGGTTAATTAACAGATACTTATTTATTTTGCGGCATCCCGGTATTAACATTTGAGGTCAAGTTGTCAAAAGTTGTTATCAATATAATTGGTCAATTTCGTAGCGAATCGTTAAATTTGTAAGACTCGTCCAATTAATGCCGAGGTGACAATGGCTCGAACCCGTTCCTTCGGTGCGAAGCTTTAGATGGAATGGCGGACCAGTTTATGCCATAACGGTCAACCAACTTGTTATGGCGTCCGTAAAATTTACGAAGGGATGATTTCAAATTCACCACTTGGAACTATTGGTTTAATAGCTTCCTTGTGAGCAGCAACCCTCTATCAAAGAAATTATGATAGGAAATGCAAGCCCTTGATCAACTGGGAGATATATACTCCGTATGCATGCGTTGCTGGAATGTTGCTACATAAAAATGGAAAGTTCACAATTTGGAAGTTGAAATAATCTCTTTTGTCGTAAACTTTTGTTTTCAACTGACCTTCATTGTCAATTGCTAGATGTAAGTCAATATTAAGCTGTCTTTACAGGGCTAGGGGAGGGTTGGCGCCTCCAAACATGTTTAACCCCGCCACATTCTGATGTACCTGTCCCAAGTCAGGAGCTTGTAGTTTAGTGGTTGTCGTTGGTTCATGCCTGTCATATTTTTTGTTCGTAAAGTGTTTTGTTATAAATTAGTCCGTAAGTTTTCTTAATTGAATTGTATCGTATTTTTCATGTCTAGGCCTTTTAAAATCGACTATACGGTATGGATTTTTCTCATTGTTGAAGGCCGTATGGTTGATATAATTGCTTACATCCACTTCATTTGAACTTAGTTGGATAGTTATCTCATTGGCAGTTATACCACATCCCCTTATTTGCAGGTTGTTGTTTTTCTTTTCATTATTTTTCCTTTTGGAAAATGAATTTCTTCCGACTTTTGTTTTTTGCGTGTCCCCTTGTAATATACGATCTCTTTATTTGCATAGTTTCCATTAAGAGGTTTGATTAAGTACAATTTAGCAAACAATAGCATGTCTTGGGTACTAAAAATGGACAAATTTTAATTTTAGATGGATACAAGTAGAAAAGTTCATTCATACAATCCCTGTTGTTTGGAAAACGGGAATCACAATAAGCACAACACTTTTCAATGCCGAGTTAAACCATCGTTCCCACGAATCACCGATCATCGATTACATTGAGCAAACTTCAAATTTGTTGTTGTAGTAGTCTTTGCCATTCCTGGTGCTACTTAAAATTAAATCACAACATTTAATATGAAAACATGAATACAAGTAAGTCATTAGGTTATTAATTAAGGTGGGTGCTAAATGCAACCCTATATATGCAATAAGATCCGATGATATTAATGTAGCTGTACTATTTACTTCTGATACAACTGAAGGACGGATTGGATGTGGAGCCTAATTATTTTCGCGGAAACAAGATGTTCTGAGCAAACATAATGCCATTACGCTAAATATTGCTGAATTATTACAAGTTGTTCATGGAAAAAATGTGTAATAATCAAAGACTAAATTATTGTAATTATACAATAAATGTATGACTGAAAGGGAGGAGAGTTTAATAATTTCCATTAAAACAAACATTTGCATGGGTTAATGCAACTGAAAAACATTTGCATGGGTACAAGTTGACTCGCTCTCAGTGGTCTTAACTGGAATTATATATACATGAAAACAATATGCGAAAACATTTTTGATTTGAAAACACATTTTCAGCCCAACAACTCATTTTCAGGTATACCTAAATCGGAACAGTTGTCACATAAGACATGTGTTTTTCGGTTTTATCAAGGTTGAGGTACATGTACATGTAATACGATAATCAGAAATATAAATAATATAGATAATTTACAACAAATTCTGGCTCAAGTAGGACATAGGATCACATAGTTCAAGGGGAAAACTGACTGAATGCATACCCTAAAAAGTACAAATTCATACGCATAATAAACTAAAAATCAATGTTTGAGCAAGTCGTCACTATAATGTATTTAAGGAAATTAAAAAAATCTAGAATTTAAAATTGATACTGCAAGTCAGAAGAGCATTAGTTGTAGAAATTTATATAACGTGTTGTTTTCATTTTTTAGAACAAAATAAGCAAAAAATATTGATATGGAGCTCCTTTTCGAGATTTTTTTTTTTTTTTAATGGCGGGAAAAGGCTGACTCTGACTTTTATCTTATATTTGCATTGGTATTATTTGGGTCTCAAGTTGAAAGAAAAGAAATCTAGAATCTGCTTAAATTTTGGTAAATTACCTTTTATGAACTATTGAAGTCTTATATGAAAAGAAAAATGGGTTTTATGGGGCAAAATAGTTTACCCTGTATCGTAGGAAAAAAAACAAAGGCCCGAGTCCGTACATTTGACAAAAATTCCTAAACTCACATAAGTAAAATACATCCTTTAAATGAAAGTGTTTTAGCGCATATATAATTTTAATTCAATTTGAACTAAATCCACAGGAAGTATAAGAAGAAAGAGATAACTTTCTGTATAAAAGAGGCAATAACATGTGATAGAAAAAAAAAGGAAATTCCTATAGCCTTGTCACCTAAATACAACCTATGAACACGAAAACTGAGAAAATACATCATCAAGCACTGGCATATCTTACAGAAAGCCATACATCAAAACATTCCAGTTTGTGGAATCTTCATAATTTTCACATACGCCATTATAATTTAATTGACCAGTTTTTTATGAAAATCTTTGTCACGTACATGGATAACCATAGCAAGGTCCTTTACATAGAAGCTATAATAGAATGGTTCCTCTTTACTTTCATTCGGCTCATCGCTGACAGATTTTAACTTTAACTAACGTGTGTCACTAGAGTTGAACAGGAACTACTTGGTATCAACATGCCAACAGTCGGCGCCTCTGCAGAGCCATGAAATATTATATGATAATAATTTATAACATTATTTTCGTTTCCTCCTACCATGGTCATACTATTGGTTGTTTTTATTAAGCCGTTTGCTATTGATCCCAATTTTTTTTATCGTTTACACCATGCTTAGGCCGAAAAATTGGTTACTTGGCTATGGTATCATCGGGTATAGACATTATACAAATAGCGGTATTTTCTTGCTGTATCTTAGATCTAGCACGATTTTATGAACATTAAACTTGAACCAAGATGACATAAAGAATGATATAAAAAGGTGATTTCAATTAAAAAATTAGTGTCTATAAAACTCAAAGATTAAGAATGAGAGAAATGTTTTTAATTGAAAAATAAATCTTCGACGGGATTATATTCTACCTGCTAAGTGAATCTTACAATCAAAAGGGAAGTATTATCACACACCTGTGTTAAACTACAATACCGTGAAGTGGTTATTTATAGCCTAATGGATTTCTGTTTTGATTTTTACTTACAAAGAATGTTCATGTAGCATCTGTGGCACAAAATTGTAAGTGTCTTTATCTTATACAATGCTTATATTGTTTATTAATTGAGAAAATTAAAAGTCAAACCGAATATGCTGTGTTCAAAGAGCTTGACTTACATCAAGAACTCCCGCAAGTTAAAGTTAGAAGCAAACAAATGCAATAATACATGAAGGGTATAAAATCACTTTTTAATCAAAATGGCCTCAGGTCAACATTATCTCGCCTCTTGGAAGAGAAAATAATGATGAACTTGTTTTTATATATGTACATAAAGAAAGTATACCAAGATCATATCAATGGATTCCACTGTAACAGTTATTAAATTTGCTAGGCAATGAGCCTTGAAAGTATTACAATATATAGGCTTAATATGTGTATTCTGTTAACCCTACAAATAGAAATTACTACATTTCCGTTGACTGTGATATAGTAAAAAAATATTTTGTTTTAAATAGGAATGTAAAAAGTAAAAAAGAGACAACTCGGAGTGTCCCAGTATTGTATTAAGTTGTAGTTCCTGGTTACGGAAGTTAAAAAATGAGGCCTTACATTAAAAAAGAGAGGGTAAAGATACTAAAGAGATAGTCAAACTCATAAGTCGAAACAAAAATAGTTATTGCACAATCCAATCACAAGTCATACTTAAAAATCCATTTGGTAATTGTAATTCATTGTTTAAATTAATTTGTTTAAAATCGGTAATTGTTCCGATATAACATGAATAGATTTTATGTTCGAAGTTATGTGCCCTCCATGATTTTATTATTAATTTGATTGACCTAATATTTACAAATGATAACAAATTGATTAAAGTAAGAACACATGTATAAAGTTAAGAAATCCGTCATGAAAGCGATAGATTAAGTGTTGCTAAAAGTGAGGTTGCAAATATATCATGCACATTCAGGACAATAAAAAATAGTAGGTAGGTTCTAATCGTACAGGATGAAGGACATGAAATTTGGACTCCCATGAATATTGGTGTAAGTTGGATAGGGCAAAATATTTCCCTCTCCTTTCAAAGGGTATCGGATGTAACACCTCAGAATTTCATGAAACTTTGTAGATATTTAGGACATATTATGTAGATGTGCATAACGACATGACATTATAATTTTTTCTAGGAGTCATACTCTTTTGAACTTAGAATTTTAGGCATGATATACCACTGCAACAGTTTGTCAGCGCAACTCCTTTGAAACCACACAACATAATTTTATGAAACTTTGTAGATAATTACATATTTTTTACATAATCATGCTACTGCAACAGTTTGTAAGCGCAACTCCTTTGAACCACACGACAGATTTTCATGAAACTTTGTAGTTAATTAGGAAATAATGTGCAGATGTGCATATAAAACTTTGTAGCTAATGAGGACTTACTATGTAGATATCGACCAAAAAGTTTAAGAATTAGAGTTATGAGTCTTTGGACTAAGGAATCTGGTGAGATTTGGTTTGCCCGGTGACAATTTTGCGGCGTGTTATATTTTAGCGTGCTCACAAAGGTAAATCCCACACAACCAAAGGGACACCACACTTTCATGTGAAGAACACATGTCATTGGCTGCTTTACCGCATTAAAAATGTCATAGTGTTGTATTCGGTGTAAAACGTACAGTTATGTACCATTTGGTTTGTGTTAGGAACATGCATAGTAAGGAGTTCCACCTTGAATATATTAAGTGTATATGTTTTATAAAGAGAATGTTTATATACAAAGGAACGTCTTGTAATGTTTATACTCCATATGAAGGAGTAAAACAGAATGCCTAACCATAATTATAATAGTATTTTTATATTGCAGGTAGAAAAGATGATTTTCTTTATAAAGCCTGTCATATATCCCATGCTGTTGAATTTCATAGCAATTGTTGCCTGTACAGTTCCGTACGTATTTGTCTGCATATTTCATTTAACAATTAAAGCTATCAAAATCAGTTTAAGAGTATTTGATATAAATGCATATATTTTGGAAAAAGGGGTTAATGAACTATATATGCATCAAAAGTTCTATTGTAAGGTCATGATAAAGCCATCTGAATTTGAAAATTAATGTTAGGTCTTACTAATAGCCATGTGTTATTTTATAGATTTCAAATACATTAATTTTCGTCGGAAATGCTTTACTGTTAGGTATATTTACGTACAAAAAATGTAAAGATAGTCCAGTAAACATATCGACAAATATTACATTTTTATTTTACAAAGAAATATACACGAAACAATATATAATTTATGCATTTGTATATAACTTATTGGTACGAACTTTAGCAACAGACAAAAAATTAAAATCGCAGTTGTATTATTTTTTATATATACAGACATGAATCAACATTGCTTAGGAGCGGACCGCAATGATGACTCATAGATGAACTTAGAGAGCGAAATTTAGTTTGACTATTACGATAGCCCATTATAGAAGCATATTTCCGGGAGACAATTTTTGTGAACATACTATTTGAACTTATTTTATGGTGCCATGGATTCTAGACAGGTCGAGATAACTGTTTGTTAATTTTGCGAACAAGTGAAAGTTCTCAATTTTTATCTTCTTATTTTTAGCTACTTTCTGGCATCAGCTAAAGAGACAATACACAAAGATTTCCCATTCATAAGGTAATTTCGATGTTAGATGAATCCATTTATGTGCAACATAGGTGACTTTATGGTAAAATGCAAATTCTGATGTTTTGTTGTAAAGCGTTCTTGGTAGTGTTTTCTAGGAATCGCCCCGATATTCCGACACCCCAATAGTCCGACGCCCCATTGGTCCGACGACCCAATAGACCGACACCCCAATAGTCCGACAAATGTATGGTACATTACTGACGTAAAAGAAAATGTATTCATAGAATCGTTGTTGCCGTGGTATTTGAACTACTTTTTCTTATTCTTATAAGTATGTCAAAGAAACATAAAATACCACACCACACAATTTAAGAAAGACCGTATGCATATAAAGCAATCGAGAACCTTACAGGTTTTGCATATGCGTATCGGGAACTTTTTTTTCATTTCTTGACAAAAGGAGTGTTTCTGTGTCAGATCATGACATGTCCCTATAACTGATGCATACACAGGCACTTGTCTCTGAACAAAAATGTACCTATATACATATAGCTTAAAATTTGTGGCATACCGACATGTTCATATGACAAATACAGTTACTAGCAAAATACATAGAGGTTGGTCCGCTGGGATCAGAAGTGCTTTATTGCATAGAGCATACGGATTTCGTACAAAACTCCATAACCATATAATCCCCCCATTTATTAGATGTTTACTAAATGATGAAATTATTATTTTCATTAGCCAGTTTAATTGTTGTTTTCATTATTACTATTTACCAGCTTGTTAATTGTCTTTGTGAACTCTTCGTACTAGTCAAAACAGATTCCTTACGGAGAACGCGTCAAATTTTACAGAGTTTTATTTGGAAGGCAGTATAGCTAGCCTTAACTTTTCAATTTCCTGTTTTTGGGATAGATACACAGTTGCGTATTTGCATGCAAGTTATTCGCAAATTACATTCTTGTTTGACAAAATGTGTACAGTAGTAAAGAGATAGAACTCGTTTTTGTGCAGCCTGCGGCATTTATGTCGTCATAGCGAGACAAAGCGACCCCCGTCTCGAACATTCTATAGGACATGTCAACCAATCTACCTTGATAACTTCGATCAGTCGATGGACAAGACGTTCGGTTTTATTATTAAATAAACACGACGTCGTCATCAGACTTTCTAATATAAAAACTTAAAGTATTGTTCAATTATTTGGTGTCGGAATATTAGGTCGTCGGACCAATAGGGTGTCGGATCATTGGGGTGTCGGAATAATGGAGTGTCGGACCAATGGGGTGTCGGAATATCGGGGCTGCGATAAATGATAATTTTTAGCTACTTTCTGGCATCAGCCGAAGAGACGATACAAAAATTTCTCATGCATATGGTAATTTCTTTGTTTAGATAAAGATCAGTTCATTGCGTGTGAATTTCATATAATATACATATAATATTTTATGCAAATGGATAAATATTGTAACATTGAAATTCATCTATTTTCAAAACTTGCAAATAACTGAGTATTGAATAAATAAAACTATTTTTTCTGCTTCACTACATTTTGTGTATGTTCTGGTCGAAAAGCTGATGGAACACAGATGAGAAAACATTGTCGCTCTAAAATAAGATAAACTCACTGCATGCATAATATTTCTGAATTTTTCATCTCTACCACGTGTACAATATTAACGGTTTTAATATAATATGATTTCTAATTTCGTTCTATAGGGGTACACATTAAAATATGTTCTTGGTTATCACAAAAAATCTAAAAATATTTCTAAATTCTTTAATTATTGATGTTGTATTTCAGTGACAGTGGACGACAAGGAGTCGCTGCAGCCTTGTTCAGCTTGTTTTTCACACTTTATGCATTCATTTGTAAGATTTTTACCTCATATTTACATGATAACATAAAACAACATTTTTTTGTCACACTAAAGTTTTCTGAAAATTATATCTAACTTTGTATGCACATAATGTTTGCCACTAATTTTGAAAATGACCCATAAGGCCTGTGACTGGTATTACGTTGACGTAAACAATTAGGTAACAAATACGTATCATTTGGTTTGTATAATTTATGTATTTGCGTATAGAGCATACATATCCCATTGGTTCTCATCTGAAGACCTTTCGTCTATTTCAGAGAATTTCACGAAAGAACATAATTATAATTACTTTCACATAAAGCGCCCAGTCAATATAATCATAATTGGTGTCATCACCTTTACCCCAGTGACTAAGGGTTTTCCGGTCGCTATCACAATTTGCTTCGATTGAAAGCATACGGTTTTCCTTGGATACTTTATATTCTTGTACCAAATTTGACCACTGACAAATACAAAGATTTTCGATAAAGGTACGTTTACATTCTTTCGGAGCACCCGATTTCGCTCCCGGCCCAAAGGGAGTCGAGCTTTTGCATTGTTTGATTACTTTTCATATGCACCTTATTTTCTTTGAACTAGTTTTCTTTAATTTGTCGCGGTCGTTAGGTGTTACATGTATTTCGAACTTTGAACCTCCTTTAAAATACTGTGTTCGCTTATTGTTGAAGCCGTATGGTGACGTATAGTTGCTTGCATCCATGCACTTCATTTGGACTCTGGTAGATAGTTGTTTCATTTAAAATGGATATCGCGATGTGGACGAAAACAGGACAAGAATATATTTTGTAAAGTAACCTTTCCTCGTATATCATCTACATCGCGACTAAAAACAGCATTTTAGTTAGTCATATTTATAATAGTTAAATTTTATTGTTGATAATCACTAATATCTTGCATTTTTGTGTTCTTTTAACTTTTCTAGTTTTCATAATTTTAACACTGAGATTTGAGCAGATTAAGGCAGTATACAGTAACAGGAGTCATAAATGTTTACATGCTGTGAACACAGTAACATACTGTATTGGATTGCTGGCGTGTGGTGGCGTTTGGTTGCTAACAAACTTTAGAGAGGTAATTGATTAGCAATCGATTTAATTAATTTATCATATGAAAGGTTTTTATGATAAAAGTTTAACAGTAAGTTTATTTGTTTTGAAACCGAATACACACGTTATATGAGATGATGAAATGGGTATATAAGTCTTGCCTGGTTTATATGCATACATATATAGCTCTAATAAATGATGACGTAGAAAACATGCCTATTCTTAACCAACTATCCAAAAGATAGTTCTGGTCAAGTTTGGATGGAAAATGTATTGTAGGTCTTTAAAGTTTCCTAACACGACTGAGTTTTAATTGTTTAAACTGAATATTATACTAACATCAAAATATAAAATGTTGGATCGAACCTAATGCAAAACATGCTTGGTGTATAATTTAATCAATGATCCTTTAACATCACGGTATTTATGGTAGCTGAGAAATACATGCATCGGATATGTTCAATGTATGAGTCAGGATTTTTGCAAAGCTTCAATATATGAATGGAAAAAGGGGGACAAACCCTAGAGGCCCGTCATAATACAACAGTAATACAAACAAGTGCACTTGTTATTCACAGATAAGAATTGTACATACGAATACAAGGCGAGCGTATATAGTTAGCTTCAACGAGACAGCAACCGAACGACATAAAAAATCTTTTTAAAAGGTATACTACAATAGCAAGTCTCTATTGTGGTTCATGATTCTCAATATTTATTTTACTGTTAAGAGTTGCTTGTCTTTTCGTCTTTTGTCTTTTTGAAGTTTCTTAAGCTTTTAACTGTTTTCTGGTAAATCAAACTTTGGCATCCATCGAACAAAACACGACAACCAGGGCCAACAAGTTGCTATTGTTAGAACAAACAACAATCACATTACCACACACAAGATAAAGTATTGGGTAACACAAAAACTCACTTGACTCCCGAATATTTTTAACCTTTGTTGTCTGTTGTTCATTTAATAAAAAGGCTTGAAACAATAAAGACCCAGAATACACCAGTTTTATACATACATGTAATTGTTTAAAATTCTACGAAATCACTTTGAAAAATTCTAAACTTTATTTAAATTGTCTTAATTTGTATTGAAACTGAACTGAATATGCTCAACTTGCAGTAAGGTGAGAGTTTTTTGTTGGTTTTTTCTTCTTCTCCGTTTTGAGGCCTAATTGTGATATTGAGATGAGGAACATCTCACGTTATGCTATGCATGTACTGATCTTGTGTCATGGATGGATACCCTATATATTTTTTATTTTTTTATCGAATAGTCAAAATGTGCTTAATGTCATCTGTACAATAATAATTGATTGGCTTTTCTTAATGCCCAGTGGCAAATATTACGTACATATTAAGGTAGGAAATAAATCAATATTAGAAGTTCCGATAGATATGTATAGGGGTGCTGGAAATTTATACTGCCACTTCAAAAAAAGAAAATGTTGGCTTATGGCGTAAGTTAACCCTTACAGTTACATGTATGTATAAAACTATTGAACCCATGCAATGTTACTTCAAGGGTTGTATTGAGTGCAGAGAGGAGTGAGGTATTCCCTTTACCCGAGGTATCGGAATTAACGTTCCCATTCATACAAGGCGCGGCTACGTAATTAATTCATGATTCTTTTTCACTACATTTTAATGCTCATATTTAATGTGTAAATATTTGTTATTATAACTATACAATCCTGATCTCTGTACGAAGTATAATATTTCATTTTCCTGTCAAAAAATTTGTCCATAGAAAACTGCACCAGAAGAACTCATGAAAGTACATAATGCAGGTTCGGTGATAGGATTTGCATTGGGAACAATATACTTTTTGCTACAGACAATATTCTCATTTTTCTGGAAGGAGGTTCCCGGTAGAACACTTGTTATCAACATTTGCAGAGGAATATTCTCGAGTCTGCATTTTGCATTTTTAGCCGCATGTATCCTTTAATTGTATTAAGTACAGAAAGTTGTATTTCAAGGTAGTTGTTTGATTTGATAGTTTTCATATACAACATTGATATATTATGTTATTGTTGGGAGGAAAAATAATATGCAGTGCTATGCCATGTTGTCGCTATTGTGAGAGGAATTAGGTATTTTTTTTCACAAAGACAAAAGTAGTCTTTGAAAACATGCTTATCTGACATTCCATACGTATATCATATATACTAGTAACCAAAATTATTTTTTAAAGTTATAAAGGTATCTCGGTTTACCAAAATATTCCAGTCTATACAGTGAATGTATTATTCGCCCAACAGACATAGATCCAAATTAATCGTATTTGAAATTGAATCATTCAAGCAACGTTGATTTTATGTAATGTTGCAATAACAAAATCAGAATAAAAAATAGAATTGACTGATTTTACCTAACTATGATATCATTCTTACGTTTTCTGTAAAGCACACCGAAGCTAAAAACGTCTAAGGTCAATTTTGGCAAAGGAAGTTGTAACGTAAGTTCTAGCACACTGACATAATTATTGAATTTAATGGAGTACCTGATTCAAAGCAATATGTTCCTTAATGTCATGCAGTCATGGTCCTGTTGCAGAACTATATGAACACATATGTAAGTAGTCCACTTTGTGTTTTTCCATCTTAAGTTTGCGAACATCTAACAATAAGCATGCATATACGACACACGTGATACATTTCAGATTCCTAGTTATCGGTGTTAAATAATATATAATAGTATAGTCAAATTCATCAAAGGCACCAATGCAAACTTATTTATATATTTTTATGTGAATAAGGAGATGTGGTATGATTGGCAATGAGACAAATACCGCAAACAGAGAATAAATAAAGTAGATTTAGCCCATCATAGGTCACCATACGGCTTTCGATAATGATTAAAACCAAAACCGAATATAGCTATGAAATGTCCCAAAATGTCAAGTTGTGAAACTATTCAAACGAAATTAACATACAATAAGGAAAAAGAAAAGAACAAAGAACAAACGAAAACCAAATATGACAGGCAGCGTCCCTCGCCTAGCCTGGTACAGCGATGTAACAGCGAAACATAAGAATCAACTATAAAAAATCTTTTGGAGATGGTTTTATTCATCAGATTAACACGAAGCACAAACACAACTGACAAAAAGACAAAAGACAAGAGACACAAAGTATCGATCCTAGTAGTAAGCAATTCGCGCCGTTTCGTCGTATTTTCGTCTTTAAAAGACTAAAAAGGGTACTGGAATGTAAAAATTTGGCAAGCTGAATAAACTACTTATAATATAAGAATTAGAAATCAATTTTTTTTTTTAAAGTTCTGCAAAATTCAGCTTTTACACCGAAATAACACTTACAACCATAAAATGACGGACAATTGAAAAAAAGATTCTAGTTTAAATAAGATTTGTTGTTGCAGGATATGACTATGAGGAAAAATGCAGCTATCATGGAGTGGATTTTTGTATTTCTAGTGACACTTTATCCTCTGACGTTCATACCTGAATTTTACAAAGCCAATTTTAAATGTACCGTCGATTTTCCTGGTTCTGATAGGGATGTTCCTGGAAACGATTCACGTCTCGTTTTGCATGAGTCGGGTGTTGCAACTAACAGATTTAGGGGGGCCGACGAACAGAACTCTCGTCTCATAGAGATTGAAGAAACTCAAGAATTATTGGATGATGAAATTACCAGTGATGACAATATGTTGCTATAGAGAACATTTTATTGTGAAATTTCATAAGTTGATGTGAAAAATACACCTTTACTTTAACACTAAAAAAATTACCTTTTTTGTAAATATATGATTTATATATTTAGTTGGAACTAAAAAATAATGAAATGAATACATGAAAAAGTCACATAAAAGCTGTTCAGAAACGGCTTCGCCTTTACGGTTAAATAAAAGTCCTATTAATAAATTTTAAGCTTGCTACAATAAAAAAAAAACTGATACAGTATAATGGTTTATTATTTTCGAAGCGGTTTTCTTGGATAATCTTCATCAGAACGCACCGTGAGTGTGTAACATTTAAATTCTACCAGGCATATCAAATGTTTCAATGAAATTCTGAAACATTCTGTATTAATTTTAAAGGAATATCTACAAATAACATATTTATTAACTGATCATAAGAGAAGATTGAAAAGACGTCCATCAAACTTAAGGAATAAAAACGACAGACATCTTTTAGCTTTTAAAACGAAGGAAAAACATGCTGTAAATCACTTGATTTTTATTTGATTTACAGTGTGGATATCATTAACAATTTATATACATATATTATTAAAAAAAATAGTGTATCAGTAGTGGAAATAAAGCTTAAAGAGGGGAATTTGTTTGTGACTTCATGGAACTTTATCTAAATATGCCTGTTATGGTTTCATCGACATTTATCACATCTTCGTTCAATTTCAGAACATTGTTCCTTACATTATTTAAGAAGTAAGTAAATTATCATCGACACGTTCCTGAAAGAACATATTGAAACTTGGGATTATTAGCCGAGCAGAGCGAGGGGAAAAAAATTAATGTCTTTCCTGTCAAAAATATATATATTTTATTATTGTAAGGGGAAGCATTGGGTATGGGTCGCCCAGGTCATAAAGGAAAATTATTCATATAAAGACATATTAAAAATTCCACACTTGACTCCTTGATATCATGAACCATTAAAATTGAAATAAATACTCAATGACCACGAGTTTTACGATTAATAATGTAAGTAAAAAAATATTAAATTAAATGTTATTAGTGTTTTTATTATATGAAAATGAGTATAACATTAAGAAAACCTTCTGAAAACCTGCAAAAACATCAAACCATTATTCCCTTTTGGTGTCATTCTTCGTGTCCAACAAACCAACAAAAGATGGTAATGACACACATGAATAACAATAATTATGACACAAGAGATATAGATATATCATCTGCATCAATTGTTCAACATACTTCTGCTGAATAATCAGATATTGATTGAGAGTATCATCATCAAATTAGCTATAATGTTTGCATGTTTGAAATACAGAACTTCTGAAACCTTGTAAACAAATTTCGGTGCCCCCATCTGAAGTATTGAAAATAAGAATATCCCCCTTTCCATTCCGATAAATTGTCATCAATGCCTTAATTTCCTCCCCCTTTCAGGTATCAAAAGACCAGTCCCTAGGCTCTTTTGTAGAAATCTTGTGAGTTTTGCTGTACTCACGACACAGTGATGTTGTTTACATCCGTTAAATAAAATACGACCCGTGTTAATTTACTGACCTCCTCCCTTGAATATTGTTTGTATCGGAACTAACATTGATTTTGTTTTTAATAAATTATAAAAGAACTAAATTTTTCATTTCTGAACATTTATGATAACATTACATGTATGTTTTATTAGAATTTGTAATTTTGATTGGTTGACAACAATCGCAATGCACTGATCTAATATCATATTTTATTTTCGTATAAAATACTATTTATCAGCTCTAACTGCACGTGCTAGTTTTGACAATGTTAACATAATGCATCGAAAAACGAACGAAAAGTTTGATATAACTCTTATGGCTGTAGGATAGAAACATATAATTATAAGAATTGAATGCTTCAATTTATAATGTTATAGGGTTGTAAAAGCGTTGATCATGCGCACACTATTAATATGAAGCGCTTCATACGAAATGTGCTTCGGTCAACGCGTATACATCCCAATGAAATGCAAAAAGAAGCATTCAATTCTTAAATTAACTACATTCTGATTATACTTATGTTTTACATTGCACATAGACATGCTTATTAATACTTTACGACACTTAATCCGTTGGATGTGTACTAACTAGTATACCGCCGCTTTGAGGTAAGGAAATGGTTTTGTTCGTCGTCAAGGATGCCCTACGATGACTCACTGTATTTGTTGTTTACCTCTTCGCCATTTGTTCATTGGAAATCAGACCGCATCTTCTTATTTTTATAGTCAATCAGGCCATGGAAGTAAAATGAATACTATAATACTTCCATGATCTGGCAGACTGTGCATGTGGTGTTCTAATTTTTATTTAAAAAGTGCGGAGTTAAAATATGAAAGAGGCCATCTATTTGAGCAAATTGTTTTCAAATGTACATTAAGAGAGCCTCAAAAAAAGTTCGAATACTTTTTCTGAACGAAAATTTTGAAAGTACAGAAATGAGCAGTTATAGTAACATTTAAAGATTTTGACAAGATATCAGGTTTAAAGCCATCATTCTTTTTGGATAAAATGCCTTTACAAAGTTAGGAATATGGCGGTTGTTATTCGTTCCGTTGGTTGATATATTTGATTTTGATTTTTTGTGTTTTAACGCCACTTTTAAGCACCGCTTTTGGGCTATTTCGTGGCGGCCAGTTTTTATTGGTGGAGAAAGTCGGAGTGCCCGGAGAAAACCACCGAACTTTGATAGGAAAACTGACAACCCTAGTCAATTAAGATTGAAGTCGACTGCACCCGCACGAGCGGGGTTCGAACTCACAATCTCAGTGTTGACTGGCTAGTGATTACAGTAGTAGTAAGTAACTACTTAGACCACTCGGCCACCGAGGCCCCGTTGGTTGATATAGTCTTAACATTTGAGTTTGTCAGGTTTAATGGACTTCCTACTTTTTGAATTTACCTTGGACTTCGGTATCTTTGTTAATACATTTTATGATATTTGTAATAATATATAGATTATTTCCCGTCTTTTCTTTACTATAGTTGGAAAGCTATGAAAATCATTTGACGTATAATAAAAGACATTATATTTGAAATTAGAAATTTTGACAGTTTACTTTGAATTACAACATGTAGTATATTTAGCCTTTAGGAAATATCAACAACAGACTTTTAAAGGAGACCTGTTTCACAATTTAAATAAGGGTGTTCCCTTGACTTTTAAAAATAAACGTTAAGTGTATTTTTAGATGATATCTGAATTGGAGCATATCACGTCAACTTACAAACAACTGGATAACTGGTCGATCGTGCGAGACAATGGGTGGTCAAGGTCGTTAAAACCCCTTAGTAGTACTAAATAACTGTTAGAAAATAATTATTTCGTTTATTATACATCAGAAATGGATGGTATCGAATATCTTTAATGGAGTGAAGTTGAGTTGTTTAGGTATGTATAAAGTACGTGATTAAGAAACCTCTGTGTAATTTTACTTTTTAAAGCAGAAATAACAAAATTAAATCCTAAAATACTTTCCATTTTTTTCACGACATATGCAAATGACCAATTCACTACATGTAGTTACATGTAACGATTATGTCTCGTATATCGACCGCGTAAAGTAACATGTCGTCCTTCTGTTTTTCTAGATATTTGTTGGGTGGTAATTTAATTTTTAATTTCATGAACTATTGGAGGTTATTATTTCCAATACCATACTATGTACAAACTATTAGTATACGTCATTATTTATTTACCTAAATAAGTAAAGTAAGTAAACTATGCGTGACTTACTTAAAGTATTTAAATAATATTCAACGGAAAAGACAATAAACAATTGAACTACATACTGAAATTTTATACTCGTCTAGAAAATGGTTGACATTTTTCACATAGTTATACAATAAAAGCTGTCAGTAACTGCGAGTATGCTCAGATCTGTATTTAGTGTCTTTTTAGTTGTGGGGATGTATGAATACCGTGCCACGCCCGGTCTGTGTTTTTGTACGATTTTTTTCTGCTTTGAATCGAACTGATGAGTTGAACCCTTTTCAACTGATTGACAATTTGTTCTTATGTTGTACTGTTACACCACTGTCAAAGGTTAGAGAGTGGGTTTGGCGCTATAACAAACTAGTTCAACCCTGCCACATTCTGTATGTGCCTGTCTCAAGTTAGGAGCCTGTAATTTAGTGGGTTGTCTTTTGTTGCTGTATTTTATATTTGTTTTTCGTTCATTGATTTTGTACCTAAGTCAGGCCGTTAGTTTTCTCGTTTGAATTGTTTTACATTTGTCATTTCGGTGTCTTTTATAGATGACTATGCGGTATGGGTTTTGCTCATTGCCGAAGGCCGTACAGTGACCTATAGTTGTAAAATTCTATGTCATTTGGTCTCTGGTGGAGAGGTGTCTAATTGGCAATCATAACACATCATCTTATTTTCATAAATAACACAGCAAGATGAGGTTTCTTTTTGTCGATTGACATTTTGTTATTATAACTTTCAGGGGTGTTCACTGGTGTTCAACTAATTACTATCATCTCAAGATGACAGAGACCAACTTCATGTACTGTTTCAATATATTATCTTGGTATATTTCTTTAATATAGTGCATACTAGGAAAACCAAAGCAGGACAGAATAAATGTTAAGATGGCATAATACCATTTATAAAAGGCTGATGTCTGAACATATCTTTAAAAGTAGCAAAACCTCTTTTAAAAAGATTGGAGGTCTCAACATGAACCCACGGTCGGGAGCCTCTTCAGGAATTGCTACGGAAGGGGGTCTCAACATGAACTGTCGGGTACAGACTGCAGCTGGGATGACACCCCCTTTCATATATTAAAGTCGTGTGAACATCACGACCCATATATACTTCATCGCAAAATCATAAACCATTCATATATTTCTCAGTTATCACATACAGTTTTTGACATCTTAATTTGGTTAAAAACGATAAAACAGCGCATTTATACAAAAATCTAATCGAAAGATGAAAATTACTGACCTATTTACATTTTACTTTGGTAAATTTGCAACCCATTGATATCATTTGAAGTATCAAAAATGGACCCATATCAGCAGCACGTCTGTGTATACCTTCATATAGGAAGAGACCCCACGTGGTAATTGTTCTATTTCATAGAAATACTTTTCGTTCTTTGTATAAAAAGGGAGGATTCAGAGTTTGATGTATTGTATAGATACATGTCTATTGTTAAAGACTGTAAAAACTGTGCTGTTCTCTAAATATTAGCTATTTTTGTTGTTGCGTGACGAATATGTCCTTTGATAAAAGTTTATCGACATGTATTCAATTCAAAGTACATTTTAAATTGGACATTGAAATTAATAATTCATTTAATTATATAGAGGATGCATGGTGATTTATATGAAATTTCCATTGTGATAAATTCCAATAATCTTACTTGTAAAATATGTATAACTCATTTATTTTCACTTTCGAGACCTCCATCCTTTTTACTGGGTGATCACTTGAGGCTTTAAACTAATTTGTGCCTTGACAGTTAACACTAATTAATTAAGTGTGACACACATTAACAATTAATGGTCTGGGTGCATTTAAAACAACTTCTTGCTACACAATAAATGAAAAATCTGCTACATTCTTCTCGAAGTGACGATCCGGTATTATGACAACTGTGTGCAATACACGTTTATTCATTTATTAATTGGGTCGTAACGTCCGATTCCTCGTATAGCGATAGTTAAATAAAGGGCCCTTCCGACTACTCATTGATAGGTCGTTAGTTGGCCTGATGCAAAAAACAATTTCTGCTCCTGTTCAACATGCCCTCATTTTCCAGTAGCAGTCGAAGTGTTCGTCCTTCGTCATTAATTGTTTTTTTAACGTCTGTATTCATGGAAATATATGACACATGATGTATTCAATTTGTTATTTTTTTCTCTCAACCTGAATATGTATGAAATATTTGCCGCTGGATGTTAAGCTGCCAACAAGCAATCAATCAATAAAATATTTATGGCTTTTATAGGGCTCTTTTCTCGCGAAGCATGACTAAGAAAAACACGAAAAGAGGGGGTCTCATTAATCTCATTATTTACTTGATTAAAAATCTCAAAAAAGAGTAAGAGTCCCGACTTCTTACAGCCCTCTACTCTCGATTCGCCACTTCCTCGAATACATGTCTCGTATTCTTTTAAATTTAGCATCGGTATAAGTCTTTTCTCTTGTATTCATAACATTCCACAAAATCACAATTACATAGCAAATAATCAAGCTATGAAGTTTTAAATCACAAGTTCTGAGTTCCGTCATCTATTATCTGTTATCACCATATATCCGTTTTCGGGTTTCAATAAGTAATAATGTTCACAAATTGTATCGAATTAAAATATATATTTTTCTGCCAACATGATCTTGGAAATGATAATTCATACATTTTTGTAAAGGGAAAAATATCAGTGTATAGCGTTAGCTATTTGGGACGATAGTGACGCCCGTAATTTTCATTTCACTTTAATACCGATGGTTGTAAATATATGTGCAACTCAATGGAAACATTGGCGAGACTGGACAACACTTCATCTGAAAGCAAAGAGCAATTAAACTCAAACTAGTGAATTATTAATGAAACGTGCATCAAACATGCGTAATAAACATAGGACAGCTATCCA